CTCCTACTAGGTCATGGGGTAACTGGTTGCCAGATTAAGTCTGATACTGTTATTCTAGACTCCGCAAGGATAGTGATGCTGTGGATGGGCTCACGTGTGCTGTCCCTGAAGATCACCAAGTCTTTGTATGCCACTGTTCTCTTCCCCTACATGACCATCTTAACCATTGTTTGTGGAGTCCTCCCTTTGTCTTTACTATATTCCAGAAGGGGATTGCACTGGCTATCACCATCTCAGCAGACAGACCTATACTTTCCTAGGATCCAGAGTTCACCTTGTTAGCAGAGCACTCCCTCTCTTCTACTTAGTTTTGAAAGGGGGCCACAGGGTCACTGCCTCGATCGGCCTTGTGCAGATATGTTTAGTGTTTTCAAACATCTTCATATAGCTTTTCACAGGGCGGACCACTTTGATTTCCCATAGGCAATGTTGGTGTGTTTCCTTTTTTCCACATCTTCACCAAAACTTGTTGTTTCTGGTCTTTTAAATATGGGCCACTCTCACAGGTGTGAGATTATGTATCATTGTGATCTTGATTTGCATTTCTCTAATATTAGGTGATTGGGAATGCTTACTCTTTTGTCTGCTGGCCATTTAAATTCTTCTTTGGAAAGGTGTGTCTTTAGTTCTTTTATCCATTTTATGAATGGGTTGTTTTGTTTTCATAAAGTTTTATGAGTTTTCTGGTATATATTTGATATCAGTTCTTTGTCAGATGTGTATGGTGTACGAATATTTTCTCCCATTCAGTAGGGTGTCTTTCATTTTAATTATGGTTTCTTTCACTGTACAGAAGCTTTTTGGTTTGATGGAGTCCCTGCTGTTAAAGTTCTCTGATGTTTTCCTTTCTGTTAGTAATGAATACCTAAAGGTATCCCTAAAGATAATGTCATGAAATGTTTTGTCTATGTTTTCGTCTATGTATTTTATGGTTTCATGTTTTATACCCAAGTCTTTGTTCCATGATTACTTGATTTTGATTTAGGTGTCTTATGTGAGATTATGGTCTAGTTTCTTTCTTTCTTTCTTTTCTTTTCTTTTCTTTTCTTTTCTTTTTTTTTTTATGCAGCATCCAGTTTATCCAGCAGCATTTACTGAAAAGTCTATCTTTGCTTCAGTGTATATTTTTGGCTCCATTACCATAGATTACCTGCCCATATATGTGGTTTATTTCAGAACACTCAATTCTGTTCCATTGGCCTATGTACTATGATCTTGTAATTTTAAGGCTTTAGAATATAGCTTGAAGTCTGGAAGTATGATACCTCCATATCTTTTGTGAAGACTGCTTTTGAAATTTGGGATCCTCTATATGAATTTTAGTCATATTGGCTCCAGTTCTTTGAAATATGCCATTGATATTTTCATTGGGATTGCATTAAATCCGTGTATAGGTTTGAATAGAATGGCCATTTTAACATCCTTGATTCATCCAATCCACGATCAGGGCATATTTTCTTTGTGTTTTCTTCTTTTTCTTTCAACAGTGTAATATTACAGTTTTCTTTGCATATATTGTTACATTTTTGTTAGGTTTTTCCTAGGTATTTAATTTTTTGGTATAATTGTAAAAGGAATCACTTTCTTAGTTATTTCCTCTTCTACCTCATCATTTGTATATGATTTATGTGTGTTGATTTTTTTTAAAGATTTATTTATTTGTGCACACAGAACTGGGGTACAGGCCAGAGGCTCAGGGGTGGCGAGAGGCTTCACCAGAGACAGAGTGGGGAACAGAACAGGCAGATTGACAAAGTACACTGCTGAGGGGAGCAGCGGGCGGGTCAGGAGAGGTCTGCCATGCCATGTGGTCACCTCCGGGGCAGGCGGAAATCGAACTCATGCGGAAGTGGCTTTAGCTTCTTAGTGCTGTGCTTTAACCCGCTGCGCCACCAGGGAGGGCCTGTGTGTTGATTTTTTATACTGCCACTTTGCTAAACAGATTGTTTCGATTAGTAATTCTGTGGAATCTTGAGATTTTTCTCTGTCTATTATGTCATCTGTAAATGATAGTTTTACTGCTTCTTCCCTAATTTGCATTCCATTTATATATTTCTTTTGTCTAATTACTCTTAATAGATGTTCCAGTGCTGCGTTGAGTAACAGTGGTAAGAGTGTACATCCTTATCCTGTCCCAGATCTTCATGGGAAAGCTTTCAATTTCTCACCATTGAGAATGAGATTAGCTATGGGTTTGTTGTAAATAACTTTTATTTTGTTAAGGTTTTGTTCTGTTTCTCCCTAGATTTTCAAAGGTTTTCAACATTAGTGGCTATTGGATCTTATCAAATGCTTTCTCAGCATATATAGATACAATTATTTGGATTGTGTATTTTTTTTTTGTTGATGTGGTGAATTATATTGATTATTTTGGATTAATTTGAACCATCCTTGGTTCCTGGTATGAATCCCACTTGGTCATGGTATATGGTCCTTTTAATGCATGGTTGGATTTGATTTGCTAGGATTTTGTTCAGATGGTTGAGTCTGTGGGATATTGGTCTCTAATTTTCTTTTTTGAGTTGTCTTTGTTTGGTTTTGGTTAATGAGTATGGTTGGCCTCATCAGAGGTATTTGGAAGTATTCCTTCTTTTTCAATATTTGAAGAGTTTGGGTAAGATAGAAGTAAGTTCATCTTTCAAGGTTTGGTAGAATTCAATTGTGAAGCTATCATGTCCTGGACTCTTGACTTTTGGGAGTTTTTATTACAGTTTGAATATCCTTGCTTATGATTGTTCAGGGTTTCTGTTTCTTCCCTGTTCAGTCTCAGTTGATTGTATAATTCTAAGAATTTGTCCATCTTTTCTAGGTTATTCAATTTATTAGCATATACATATTTACAGGAGTCTTTAATAGTCTTCTGAATTTTTGCAGCATTTATTCTGATTTGTCCTCTTTCATTTTTGATTATTTGTTTGAGGTTTCTCCCTTAAAATAAGGGAGAAATAAGAAAGAAGAAAATCTTGCTGAGCCTGCCTCGAGGTTTGTCCGATTTGCTCATTTTTTTCAAAGAAATGACTTTTGGTCCCACTGATATTTTGGACTATCTTTAATTTCTATTTCAATTACTTCTGCTTTGATTTTTATTGTTCCTGTTCTAGGGGATTTTGGATTTATTTATTCTTCTTTTTCTAACTTTGCAAGTTGAGAGAGAAGGTTATTTATTTGAACTCTTTTTTGTTTCTTGAGGTGGGCCTGTATTGCTATACATTTCTTTCTTTCTACTGCTTTTGCTTTTGTTCCAAAAATCTTGGATGATTATGTGCTTGTTTTCATTTGTCTCAAGCTATTTTTTAACCCAGTGGTCCTTAAGTAGTGTGTTGTTCAGTCTCCATGTATTAAAAGATTTCCCTGCTCTCTTTTGATATTTTATCTTTAGTTTGGGTGTGACATGTTGGGAATTATTGATACTTGTATTGTGTGCTAGAATGTGGCCTATTCTGTAGAATGTGCCATGTGTTCTTGGGGAAAATGTGTATTCTGTGTTTTGGGAGTGCAGTGTCCTGTATACATTCATGAAATTCATGAGCTTGAACTTTCTTTCTAAAAATGTATTTTTTCCACTGTTTCTTTCTGGAGTTGATAGTAGTTGCCAAATGTATTTTGGTGCTCCATCATTTGGTGCATGTGCATTGATGTCTGTTATGTTTTTTGGTGTACCATTCATTTTGTCATTATATAGTGTCCCTCCCTGGCTTTTAATTTTTTAGCTGGAAATGTTTTGTCTGATATATGTATGGTTGTCCTGTCCTTCTTTACACTCACATTTGTTAGTCGATTTGTTTTCTACCCCTTTACTTTGAGCTGCAAAGAGTCTACCCTAGGTCCTTTTGGTCCCTTCTGTAAAGCCAAGCAATTTCCTAGGCATTTTTTAAAAATAGTTATTGCATATACAAAGATATATGTGAATTTACAGATGTGTGTGCATGCACTTGTGTGTACATTCATCTTTATTTAAGGAAAACACAAATAGAAAAAAGTCATATTTTCTACATCTTGATTTTTTTAACCTAAATTGTATATCTTGGCGATCAGTCATACATACTTATAGGACAGTGCATACAGATGATCTTCATTCCTATTTATGGCCATTTAGTATTTCATTGAAAAAATATGTAATTTGTTATAGATTATACTTATATAAATTAGACTCTGGTATTTTGCTACTAGAAAAAAATGCTCAGTGAGTATCTTTCTGTTTAAATTTGTGCATATGTAGATTACAGTATGTATAGATTTGCTGTCCAAAATTGAAATTGCTGGTTCAAAATTTTTAAAATATTGTGCTTTGTTTCCAAAATGGCTGTTTTATTTCACACTCCTACTGGACAGTATATGAAGTTCTCATTTTCCTGTATCCTGGTCAATATATTGAACTCTTAAAAAAATTTCTGTTAAGATTTTTTAAATGACACTTGTTTCTACTCACTTTTGTTTAAATTATGTAGTTAGTGTATTTTTTTGTACATGTAGATGTTATCTTAATTTTTCCTCTGCTAACTGCCTACTTATGTTGCTTAATGATTTTTCTTTTGGGTTACTACTACTGATTCATTATAGCTTTCCTTGCAAAATTTTTAATTACTTTTTCATCAGTTAATTATTTTTTATGACTACTGAGCATTTTCTTTCCCATGTTTTTTTCCCACTACTCAGTGACTTTATATTTGCCAACTTATCCTTTAATCTAGAATTATATAAAGAATGAGATAACATGTTAGTCCTAAGATTTTTCCAGATATCTGTCCTGATCCTACTTTTTATCTTTGCCCCTGCAGTTTAAGTTCCTATTTTCTAAGTTAACTAAGTATCTAAGTGAATAAAATGGTTCTATATATTGCTTTTTTTTTTTAATGCTTTCTCCTCCTCACTATTTGCTAATGTTTGAAAAGGGGTGATGGTGTCCTGTGTTAGGGCAAATCAGGTGTGTGGCAGCATCCAGTGAGATCTCCAGTGGGCAGGTCCTCTGGGGCTCAGGCTTTTTGTCATCTGGCCCACAGCTCAGATGAAGTGATTTTGAAACCCACTGGAAATCAGCTGACTGTGGAATTCCTTGAAGAGAATAGCTTCAGTGTGCCCATCCTGGTCTTGAAGAAAGATGGATTGGGGATGACACTTCCCTCACCATCATTCACTGTGAGAGATGTGGAACACTATGTTGGTAAGTACCACAGACGCTTTTAACTGTGGCACTGTTTTCTCCCATAAAGACCTGTGTCTCTTTCACTCTAATCCTTTCGCTTTTCCTTTCTAGTTATCATGGGGATCTGAGGTGAAATGCTGTGCCTAGAGTCATTGTTTAGCAAAGCTAGAACCAAATTTCTTCTCTTTTCTTCCTTTCTTTTGTAATAACCACATAACTTGAAGGGATCCCCTTCCTGGGGTCATGGACTCTACTATATTGAGATGAGAAAGCCTTTGACTCTTACCCTCACATGTCAGTTGTCTTCAGGGCTTAAATTTTGGGAGCTATAAAGAGAAGAAGCAAGTAGTAGGCAGGCTTGGCCAGGTGGATTTTATTGTGAGTGAGGCTTTGTTTCAGAGAGTTTTGTTGCCCTAACAGGCCTGGACCTGGTGCAAGTAGAGTGTCAGGGATTCTGACCCCTGCTTCAAAACACATGCGTACGAATACAGTGCCTGAGGAGAGTTTTGAATATGATGCCATTCTGGGTATTGGTTAAGGAATGAAAGAGTTTTTCCAGTTTCTGAGACTACTTGGTACAGAACCCATCTCTTTACTTCAGGTTCTGACAAAGAGATTGATGTGATTGATGTGACCCGTCAGGCCGACTGCAAGATGAAGCTTGGTGATTTTGTGAAATATTATTACAGTGGGAAGAGGGAGAAAGTCCTCAATGTCATTAGTTTGGAATTCTCTGATACTAGGTAAGAGGGGCAGGGGTAACTATAAAGTTACTATAAAAACTATAACATATATTTTTGTGTGATGATTTATTTTTCTCTATTTCAATATTGTTAGGATGTTTTTTTGAAAATTATTTAGGAGGGTAAAATGTTATACATTGCTAATGTAAGGAAACAATATTCTATGTTAATATATGAGACAATGTTGTAGTAGTATTCATTTTCACAAAATGAAATGTAGTATGTGTGTATATATATGTGTGGCGCACTCTCTGCCAACAGAGAGACGCCACGATATATCTTCTTCTGGACCCTTTATTCTTCTCTCTCTCTCTCTCTCTCTCTCTCTCTGCTGCCCCACCTCCTGCCTGCTTCTCTTTCCCCCTGCTTGCTTGCTTCTCTCTCTCTCTAGCTTTCCTCCTGCTTGCTTCCTTCGCTTGCTCTAGCTTGCCTCCTCTCTGCTGCCCCACCCCTGCTCCTCCTGCTTGCTTCCTTCCTTGCTCTTGCTTGCCTCCTCTCTGCTGCTCCCCCCCCCCAAAGTCCGTTATGGCAGTTGCTTAAATAGCATTCATTGACCAATCAGAGCACTGCTCACGTGTACATTGGCCAATCAGAGCACTGCTCACTTGTACAACAAGCGGGTTTGGCTGCTGAATCATGGGGCTGGGGTCTCGGGAACCCCGACATATATGTATGTGTGTATATATATATATATATACACACACACACACAGGTACACACAGAAAAAATAGGTATCAGGTTGATGTGATTATTTACTTTTCTAGCTTTTAACTATGAAATAATAAATAGCTTCACAGGAAATAACAGAAAATGTATGGGAAAATCTTGCAGCCAGCTTTTCCTTTACTGGGAAAGTATTAACATGAAAAGTTAATGTAAGGTATTTTTAAAAACTGTGTTTATTTATATCTTAGTTCATCTTGAAAGATTATTTGCAGTAGGTTACAGAAATGCAGAGAGTGGGGAAAAAGAGAAAATAAAGGTGGGGAAATGGGATGCATTTGGTGGGCCAGCTACATACATTGTATAAATGTCTGGATAGTTGGTAGAGAAGGACTACAGAGTTCTCCCTGAATTTCCTGATGATTGGAACAAAGTGGGGACTACAGTATTTTAACACTGTGGTTTTTCAAAAGATAAAAACAACCAGGTGTTTGGGAGAAATATGTCTTTACTTAGAACTGAGCTTTGATAGATTACTATAATGGTGCCTCAAAATGAAGATACTCTGAGATGGAAACAGTTACAGTAGCTATTATAAACCAAGCCCCAAGTGAATGGGCCCAGGTGGCTTTGCAGGCAGAGAGGAATATGCCTCCATTTAGTGGAGGCAGTGATCACCTTCAACTGGTTAAGACTGAGGAAGTGAAACTGAACACTCTGGAGTCTTCTGAAATGAGGATGCTGGCCAAACTTATAAAAAAGAAATTTCCTATGCGCCCTTGCATATAGAAGAGAGTTTTATAGAGAGAATTTATTTTTTGTTTTATTTTCCCTTTACTGGGTTTGGGGGAGAGCATTCTATTTAGGCTTCAACCTTCAAATCTTAATCAGCTGACATGTGTTCTATTACCTCTTCTGTGTTAGACTTTCCAATCTTGTGGAGACACCCAAGATTGTTCGGAAACTATCATGGGTAGAAAACTTGTGGCCAGAGGAGTGTGTCTTTGAGAGGCCCAATGTGCAGAAGTACTGCCTCATGAGTGTGCGGGACAGCTATACTGACTTCCACATTGATTTTGGTGGCACCTCAGTTTGGTACCATGTGCTCAAGGTAGGTATGGAGTCAACCAAATCTGAGTCTTTCTTATTTTTTTCCATATATATTAATGTGCTGGATTATAATAATAATCAGTTTTTTTCTTTTTATAATTACTTTTTCCTACATCATTTCATCCCCATAGTTTTCCCACCACCATCTCACCAGTGGACCATCACCATATTCTCTTGTATTTTTCCTCTTCTACTGTAACTCTTCTCCCTCCCTTCCCTTGCCATGCCTCATATCTATACTCAGCTGGCTAGTTTTAACTTTTTTTTTAAAGATCTATTTATTCATACAGAACTGGGGTACAAGCCAGAGGTGCAGGGGAGGTGAGAGGATTCACCAGAGACAGAGTGGGGAGCAGAACAGGCGCCTGACAAAGTACACTGCTGAGGGGAGCAGGTCAGGAGAGGTCTGCGGTGCCATGTGGATCACCTCTGGCATGGAGATAGAATGCATGCTTAGGGGCCTTAGCTTCTTAGTGCTGTGCTTTAACCTGCTGCGACACCAAGGAGGGCCCTAGTTTTAACTTTTTCTTGAACTTTACTTTGGTAGGAAACTTCAACAACCCATTCGTACCAATTGAGTTTTCTTTTTGTGGCAAGAAGCAGGTTGCTGAAGCCCTCTGCCCTCATAGATCCTATTTGGGTGACATTTCCACATAACTACTTTATAATATCCACTTAGTGTATATGCCTCATAAACCATCTATGATTTTGATGCTTAAAATTTTTTAATAGCAGTAGATACCTAAGTTTCTTTTCTTTTCTTTTTTTTAAAGATTTATTTATTTATGCATACAGAACTAGGGTACAGGCCAGAGATGCAAGGGTGGTGAGAGGATTCACCAGAGACAGAGTGAGGAGCAGAACAGGCAGATCGATGAAGTACACTTTGATGGGTGCAGCGGGTGGGTCAGGAGAGGTCTGCCGCACCTTGTGGATCACCTCTGGGGCAGGCAGGTATCGAACTCATCTAGAAGTGGCTTTAGCTTCTTAGTGCTGTGCTTTAACCTGCTGTGCCACCAGAGTGGGCCCTCTAAGTTTATTTTCTTAATTGAACCAATCTATGATACCACTGTGTATGGAAATGTCTACCACAGAAATTCCTGATAACATGAAAAATTTCTCCTCTCCCTAATTTTATTGAAATTTAGTGTATATATCCTAAGGTTATCCATCTTAGGTCTATAGTTTGATGAATTTGATTGCTGCATATAGTCGCATAACTGCTACCATCATCAAAACAGAGCATATATATATGTGTATGTATGTATGTAAAATCAGTTTTTTAATGTCCACCTTCCTATAGTTTTAGTAGTTGTTACAGCTTTGTAATTCGCATATCATCACTGAATACAAAAAAAATTTTTAAGATTTATTTATTCATCCAGAACTGGGGTACAGACCAGAGATGCGGAGGGTGAGAGGATTCACCAGGGACAGAGTGGGGAGCAGGACAGGCAGATCGAGGAAGTACACTGTTGAGGGGAGCAGCGGGCTGGTCAGGAGAGGTCTGCCACGCCATGTGGATCATGTCAGGGGCAGGCAGGGGTCGAACTTATTCGGAAGTGGCTTAAACTTCTTGGTGCAGTGCTTTAACCCGCTGCGCCACCAGGGAGGGCCCCTACAAAAAAATTTTTAACGTCTGAAAAAAATTAAATTGATTTCCACAACTGTTCATTCTATTTGGTTTTTATCAGAAATTCCAAGGCAGAGCAGAAAATTTTGTTATGCTTTTGTTCAAATGATCCCAAGACTTGAACTAGTTGTTTCCACTGATTTATCATAAAGAAATTGGACCGTGTAAATAAAATGTTGTTACTCAAATGTAGGATTAACTTTTTATTTTTAAATGATTTTTGATACAAAATGCAAATATAATAGGAAGAATTTTTTTCAACAGCAAGCATAATAAAATAGTTTTATATATTTTTTTCTGAAATATTTAGTAGTTGTAGTATCAGTGTCCCTTCAGTATGATGCTTTAAAACAAGCTCATTCTCTTATATAACCAAAGTATAATTATAAGTATCACAAAATTAACATTGGTATACTACATGTCTGATTAAAATTTCTTTAGTTTTATAATAGATAAATTTTAGTGTTATTTCTTTTCTACTTTGAAATTCATCATCATGAAATATTGGTTGACCTAATCAATCTCTGAATTGGGGATATTTTCATATTAGTATGTCTTTTTTTTTTCCCTGCCAAAATAGTTATCTGGTGATTACCCAGGCAGAATGTAGTTTACTTAATAAAATATTTTTCAACAGATAATCACCTAACATATACTCTTCTAAAAGCCCTTGGGCGATTGCTGAATTTGTAAATCTTTTATTAGCTTTGATTTTAGGTGTGAGAAGGAACACTCTGTAAATGACATTTAAAAGCAAATTCAATTTTCTTCTCATTACTAATGTGTCCTTAAGTTCTCCTAGGGTTAATAGTATTGATCTACTCATTTGTAGAGTCCATTTTTTATTTGGTATTGTATCTAAAATAGGATCCTTTGGTGTACATTTGTTCTAAGTTGAATAACTTTGAAATGCCCTTTCCAAATTGCTTTTGTAAATCTAACAAAATCTTCAAAATTCAAAGTGTAAAAAGACCTTTTGAACTTTTCTAAATCCATGTAAAAATGATTGTTGAATGGGTTTGGGAAAGAATTCTGGCATGGTCTTGAAACATTGGGGAGAGAAGAACCTTTTGAGAGCCCCTGGAGGACTTTTCTGGCATCTCTTGATTTTAATAGTTCATCCTCTTTTTGTTTCAGGGAGAGAAAATCTTCTACCTGATCCGCCCAACAAATGCCAACCTAACTCTCTTTGAGTGCTGGAGCAGCTCCTCTAATCAGAATGAGATGTTCTTTGGGGACCAGGTGGACAAGTGCTACAAGTGTTCTGTGAAGCAAGGACAGACACTTTTCATTCCTACAGGTCTTCCCTGGGTCAATCTGGGCGGTTATGAGGAGTATGTGAAAAGGAAGCAAGCTTGTAGGGTCCAATTATGTGGGGTATCCTTATTGTATCAGCTGAAGACTCACAAGTGGACTTCAAAAAACTTCCATGGTGTCCATTGGGCAGCACCATCATTTGGTGGTGTGTGGGTGGGGGGGGGGACTGTAAGTGGGAAAGTCCAGGAAGAGGTTGATACATGCCTTTGCACTGGGCTGATGTTAACTTGGACAGATAACAGGGCCCCCTCTTTACCAGACCTCTGGGGATAGTGACTGAAAGGCTGCCATCGTAGGCTATAAATCAAAATGAACAGTGATTGGACTCGCACTTTATTCTTAAATACATGCCTAGTTAACCCCTACAATTATGGATTTGTGGTCTACAGTATGAGTGTGTGAAATTTGAAAAAGTTACCCCAGTTGTCTCAGTTGGGGTAAGATGACCTCTTTAATATGTTGTGTCTTTCACAAAACACAGTATGTCTCTTTTTATATTTTTCTTGATTTCAGTATTAGTATTAAATTTTAAGTGTTTGGTAGAATTCTTTAATACAATCACATACACATGTAGATATGTTTTTAACATATCTAGGGGAATGTTTTTAACATTCATTTTCTTTAAATTTCATTAGGCTATTCAAATTCTCTTTCATATTTTGTAGGTTGTAATAGTTTGTGTTTTTTGATTAATTAATCCATTTTATCTAAATCATTATCTATGTAGTTGTTTATAGTACTACTTATTATTCTTTTGATATCTTCCAGGTCTCTAGTGTTATCCTCTTGTTTTATTCCTATTATTAGTTATTTGTGCCTCCTCTTTTAATCTGTTGTCAGTTTTGATGAAGATTTGTCAATTTTCTGGAACTTTCAAGGACTTGTTTCTTTGAATTTCTCTGCTTTGACTTTCATTGATGGCTGCTTTTACCTTTCCCTTCCTTCTGCTTATTTGGAAAAAGACTGCTTTTTCCATTATTGATAGAGGGTTTAGATTATTGGTTTGACATTCCCTCTTTTCTTTTTTTATACTTAATTTCTTAATTTGTGTAAGTTTTACATCAGGTATAGTTCCCATATAATTTCCACCACTACTTCATCCGTGTGCCATCACCTTAGTCCCTTATATTCTTCTTGCCTGTATTTAGTACCCTCCGCCTCCTCTGAAGAATATCTCTGATTTATAGCAGTCTGATTATTTTTTGTTAGTTTTGTTGTATATTGCTTTATTTTTAATTGCTATTATTCCTCCCCCACCCCAATTCCTTATTTGGTTTCTCTATGTAACTGAAACCATCCAATATTTTTTTTTTCTTTCTGGCTTATTTCACTGAGAATAATTCCTTCTAACTCCATCCATATTACTGCTAATGGCATTATATTATCTTTTTTATTGCCGAATAGTATTCCATTGTGTATATGTACCACATCATCTTAATCCATCATCATAATCTTAGTCATCTATTTTTGACATTTTTATTTGTTTCAAGTCTTACTATTATACATAGTACTGCAATAAGCATAGGGGTGCATGTCTCCTTTTGAATTAATGTTTTTGTGTCCTTTGTATAGATCCTTAGAATAGAACTGCTGAGTCAAATGGCAGCTCCACTTTTAGTAATCTGTGGAACCTTGACACAGCTTTCTATAGTGGTTCCACTCTAGTTTACACTCCCGTCAGCAGTGTAGGAGAGTTCCTTTTCCTCCACATCCTCACCAAAATCTGTTGTTATGAGTTTTTTTAATGTGCGCTATTCTTACTGCTGTGAGGTGGTATGTCGTTGTTGGTTTGCATTTCCCTGATTATGAGGGATGTTGAACATTTTTTCATGTGTCTATTGGCCATTTGCATTTAATCTTTGGATAACTATCTTTTGACTTCTACTAGCCATTTTTTAAAATATAATAGTTTAGGTCCCTCCCTGGTGGCGCAGCGTGTTAAAGCACAGCACTAAGAAGCTTAAGCCACTTCCACATGAGTTCGATCCCTGCCTACCCCTAGGAGATCCACATAGCGTGGCAGACCTCTCCTGACCCGCCCGCTGCTCCCCTCAGCAGTGTACTTTGTCGATCTGCCTGTTCTGCTCCCCACTCTGTCTCTGGTGAATCCTCTCACCCTCCGCATCTCTGGTCTATACCCCAGTTCTGTATGAAAAAATAAATAAATCGTTTTAAAAAATTAAAAAATATATAATACTTTATTCTTACATCATTTTGTGCCTTTTTCCATCTCTGTTGTAATCCCCATGGTCTTCCTACCACCAAATCACCTGTGTGCCATCAACGTAGTCCAGTGTATCTCCCCCCTCTCCATTTTTGATCCCATTCCCCACTCCACCCCTGTAAAATATCTCTGATATATAGTTGTTTATTATTATTATTACTCCCCCCCCCTGTCCTTTATACTCCTGCTATGAGTAAAAACATCTGGTATTTTTCTTTTTCTTTCTGGCTTATTTCACTAAGCATGATCCCGTCCAGCTCCATCCATGTTGCTGCAAAAGGCATGAGTTTATCTTTTTAGATTGCTGAGTAATATTCCATTGTATATATGTACCACATCTTTTTAATCAAGTCATCTACTTTTGGGCATTTGGGTTGATTCCATGTCTTTCCTATTACAAATAAAACAGCAGTAAACATGGGGGTGCAGGTTTCTTTATGAATCAGTGTTTTTGTGTCTTTTGGGTAGATAACTAGGAGTGGGATTGCTGGATCGTATGGAAGCTCCATTTTTAGCAGTTTGAGAAACCTCCAAACAATTTTCCATAGTGGTTGTACTAGTTTGCATTCTACCAGCAGTACAGGAGAGTTCCTTTTTCTCCACATCCTCACCAACATTTGTTGTTCTAATAGCCATTTTTTTAAAGATTTATTTATTTATGCTTACAGAACTGAGGTATAGGCCATAGGTGCAATGGGTAAGAGGATTCACCAGAGACAGAATGGGAGCACAACAGTCAAATCTACTGAAATACACTGCTGAGGAGAGCAATGGGGATCGAACTTGTGCTGTAGTGGCTTTGGAGCGCTTCATGTTGTGGTGCTTTAGTCTGTTGAGCCACCAGGGAGAGTCCCTCTACTAGCTGTTTTTTGACTGAATTAATTTTTTTTTTCTTGAGTTGTGTGATATCTTTGCGATCAGTCCTTTATGAGTTGTGTGAAGTGGAAAGATTTTCTCCCTACCAGTAGGGTTTCTGTTTGTTTTGTTTAGTGTCTTTTTCTGTATAAAAATGTTTTAATTTGGCCCTCCCTGGTGGCGCAGCGGGTTAAAGCACTGCACTGAGAAGCTAAAGCCACTTCCACATGAGTTCGATCCCTGCCCGCCCCGGAGGTGACAACATGGCGTGGCAGACCTCTCCTGACACGCCCGCTGCTCCCCTCAGCAGTGTACTTCGTCGATCTGCCTATTCTGTTCCCCACTCTGTCTCTGGTGAAGCCTCTCGCCGCCCCTGAGCCTCTGGCCTGTACCCCAGTTCTGTATGTCTAAATAAATAAATCTTTAAAAAAAATGTTTTAATTTAATGTGGTATTAATTTAATGTGGTCTATGCTGTTTATCTTCATTTTGTTTAGGGAATGAGTCTTTAAGGGTGTTACTGAGGTGTGTGTTTTATAGTGTATTAACTATATTTTTCTTCTGTATATTTTATAGTTTCAGATCTTATGTGCAGTTCTTTTGTCCATTTTGGGTGGATTTTTGAGAATGGTGTGAAGTAGTAGTGGTCTAGTTTCATTGTTTTCAATGTGGTGGTCCAGTATTCCCACCACCATTTATTGAACAAAGTGTCCTTGTTCCATTGCATATTCTTGCTCCTTTGTCAAAGATTAGTTCCCCATGTATGTGTGGCTTTATTACTGGCCTTTCTATTCAGTTCCTTTAGTCTGTGTGTTGGTCTTTGTTCCAGTACTATACTGTTTTAATTATTAATTATTATGACTGCAGTGTATTTTGAAGTCATTGTGATACCTCTGTTATATGTTTTAATCAGTAGAATTTTGGCTCTTTGAGGTTTTGAATTTTGTCAATATTTGTTCTGTTTCTTTGAAGAATGTTAGTGATTTTTATTGAAATAGCTTTTGGTAGGATGATGTTATTTCTTCCAATCCATGAGCAGGGCATGCCTTTCCACTTCTATTTCTCTTAACAGTGTTCTGTAATTTTCCTTGTATAGGTCCTTTACTTCTTTTGTTAGGTTTATTCCCAAATATTTTTTTTTCTTTTATTATAAGAGGGGAGACTTTCTTGATTTCCACTTCTTCAAATTGGTTGGTTGTATATAGGAAGGCTACTGACTTTTATATGTTGATTTTGTATTTTGGTACTTTACAAATCTGGTGGGCTATTTTGAATAGCTTTTCTGTGGAATTTTCAGGGTTTTTATATATATTATTGTACAGTCTGCAAATAAAGATAATTTTACTTCTTCATTCCCTATTTGCATCTTTTTCCTGTCTTATAACTCTGGCTAAGACTTTTGCAATATTATGTTGAAGAGCAGTAGAGAGAGTGGACATCCTTGTCTTGTTACTGATTTTTTTTTTAAGATTGATTTATTTATTCATACAGAGCTGTGGTATAAGACAGGTGCAGGGATGGTGAGAGGCTTCACCAGAGACAGAGTAGGGAGCAGAACAGGCAGATAGACAAAGTACACTGCCGAGGGGAGCAGCAGGCGGGTCAGGAGAGGTCTGTTGTGCCATGTGGATCACATCTGGGGCCTGTATCAAACTCGCATTGAAACAGCTGTAGCCAGCTTGCAGTGCTGCGTCCTAACCCATTGCGCCACCAGGGAGGGCCTGTCTTGTTCCTGATCTTAAAGGAAAGGCCTTTTCAGCTTTTCAGTATTGAGAATAATATTGGCTGGGGGTTTGCCATATATGGCATTTATCATGTTAAAGTATGTTTCTTCTATTCCTAGAATTTTTAGTATCTTCATCATAAATAGATATTGGACTTTGTCAAATGCCTTTTCTGTATCTG